TGGTTTGAGGTTAAGTAGAGATCTCAGCCGTGGTTTTGTGTTAGAATTATTGAGAATAGAAAGATCAAACATTAGTGTTATATTCAGTTCTCTATTCAGTAAAAGAAGACATACCTATGACCAAACCCTCTTGCCAAATCTAATTGCATATATATATATATATTTATATATATATTTAAACCTTTTCTAGAGAGATGTCATATGGTATTGATCTGTTGGAGCTTTTATTAATATTAAATACATTTATTTGAATAAGCTAATTATATGTTATACAATATCTAGGATTGTCAAGTGGTTGCTTAAAGTTTCTTACCTTATTAAAAAAAAATAAAATAACAATAATGCCTTCTTGCTAAATTTCATATAATACTGTTTATACATAATTATTTACAAATTAGAATAATAGAAACTTATAAAGCACAAAACAATAGACAAAGTACAAGGTAAAACATTTCATTTAAAGAGATTCTACAAAAGTACATATGTATATATAGTAAGTAAATAGAGGTCTATCTAATAGAATTTAAATAGAACTGATCACTGTAGCTAAGGTTGCTGGCCATAAGTAATAATTACGGACATTACGAATTACAACCTGGGTTGCAACCCTAATTACAGCCAATACCCAAAGTTGTAATATGCCGTATTGCTATAAATATCATAATGGTTGTAAGTGTCATAATGGTTGTAAATGCCATAATGGTTGTAAATGCCGTAATAGGTTGTAATTTGCATTTTATTGAATAAGCTACGATTAAAAATACCGATACTAAATTTGGCTTATCTTTCATAAATACAGGACAGGGTCTATCTTTAACAAGATATGTTTAATTTTGTTTTACGTAATATAGACTTTTTGCACTATGTATTTTATATAGTGTTTGAACCTGTTTAATACTGGTGAATGTTGTACTGTACATGTTTTTTTTGTATAAAAAAAACAAATTGCATTACCACATTGTTCTCGAGATGTTTTATTTATTTTTTTTCAAAAGCTTTGGCTTTTTAAGGGAGGGTAAATTTCAACGATAATTCTCAGAATCTAAGAAAATTAGAAGCATCTAGATGTAACAAGATACGGCGTAATTGTGTTGATCAATTCAAGATTTCTAATATATATATTTGGAAAAATCTTAATGTATCAGTATGGTAATTGAGGGATAACCTTATTTCGTAACCGGATAATTCAAGACCTTTTGCACGATGAGAACGAATTAAAATTTGTTGAGATTTTTAAAATAACTGGATTAAATGTTACATATTATTTAAAATATGCGTTATGTAGTACATACTATGGTAGTACAGACTCCTGCAATTTTGGGGTTTTTTATTGTTCAAACGATAAAAAATAACTGAAATTGTATAAGTCTGGATATCTATTCCATGGAACTTGCAAAGATTAAACTTTTATCTAAACCATTTAGTTGTTATTCTTAAAGTTCGGTGTGCATAATTCGTGATACTTTTGTTTCTTTCTGTTAATTAAAATGCGAGTAGAAAAAAAGTACAAAATAGAATATAATACCTTTTATTAGATTCAATTAATTTGAAGGACTTGTATAAGCTCAGAATAATACAGTACAAAACTAAAACTTTCAATATTAAAGGTGCTATTGTAATATGACGTAATGATTCTTTAATCAATGCTTCAATGTAATGACAATTTTCAAGTTTTTCAAGAGTAAATTCAATGTTTGGGTTAGTTTCTCAATTTATCATTGTAGAATACAGTATGTAATTAAATAAAACCATATATAATATACAAGAAAGAAACTAGTATCCAAGTCTTAAATATTTTAGCCGTGTAAAACTCTTGTAATGCTACTAGCATAGTAACAAAAATTTTGTTATAAATTCTTTGACAAACTTTCAAATTGATTAAACATTCTAAAATGACCAAAGAAAACCAAAAGCAAAATAATGATTCAAATAATACTGATACCGAAACAGAATCTATGAATTCTAATAATTCAAAAACCG